ATTATTATTATTATTATTATTATTATTATTAGATAAATATTGACCATCTATACAAGAAAATACGGTATTATCCCATTCTGACAAATAAGTATTTCTTCTCTGCTTGAGAACTAAAAATAAAAAGGATGGGGAGAAAACCCAGCATTAGAAGAACAAAACTAAAACAAATCCTATACTATTGGTGAAATAAAGCTTAATTTTCATTTCAACTTCTGCAATGCAATTTAGTAAAATCTTTCAGTAAATGGAAGCTGAATTCTTCAACTCCGATCACCAACAAAAATACTAATACGAAATTTAAAAAGAAAAAATTATCTTACCTAATGCTGAAAGACTATCAATGAAGAGATCCTGTGCATTCCCAGGATCAGGCTTTAAGATAACCTGACAATAAGGAAAAAATAAAGATGCAGGCCTTCATTTAAATATACAAAGTTACATAAAACGGAAGATCCACTGACCTGAAATTGGGTGTGACGCTGGAGTCTGTTAGGATTCTCACCATAGCGGCTGTCATCTGGCCGTACACTAGGTTCAACATAGCTTCAAAAAGCGGATCCCATTCTTAAATTTATATTACATAACAGAAAAAAATTCAATAAATAATTCCTGTTGGGTTGCCAAGAAAGACGATATGCACAGCAAATTAACAAATTAGTTGCATTCTAGTCCAGGAAAGAAATCCGATCATGCAACACTACCATTTTATACTACAGAAAGAAAGAGAACGCTGTTTAAGACGACACAGCATCATGCTAGAAACTGACCAACATATCAGTATAAAAATACACTTTGGATTATAAGAAACTCAGTATAGCACCACCGAAGCATCACAGATTTTGTAACAGCATCTTCTATTATATACATGCTAAATTAAAGAACTGACAACTTGCATGTCTACTGGACATAAAAGGAAACAAGTTTATGGAAGGGATTGATTCCTACGCTGATGACTTGAGAATTAGAGGATAGATCAAACCAGTTTTTTGGTAGATGTTTTAGAATGGATGTTTATTTCTTCTTCTATGGTCTCTCGGTTTGGTTCGAACAAAGCGAAATAGGCGTTTATCTCCTAAATACTGACGATTAATCAACCATTGCACCGATTCAATTTTATTTTATTTCATCTTTCTACATAGTTATTACAAGAGACTCTATAACTAATCCCAATCATAGATTGATGTACAAGTAGGAGTCAAAGTACATTTCAACAATTCATGAAGGACATGTCCAAGTCAATTTCAACAATTCGTGAAGCCAAATCACCCCTTAGGGGTCTGTTTGACGCAGCTTAAAACTGCGTTTCGTGTTTTGAAAACGTCGGCTCGGCGTTTGATTCGCACATTCATTTGGCGTATTTGGAAACTTTGTTTTACGTTTATATTAGACGCGGGCCACGAAATAGACCCTGTGGTCCACGCCTTCCCATCTACGTTAGAGGTCAATTCCTCCCGTGCCCCTCTCCTTCGCTCGACTTCGTTCAAGGATCGGCGCATACTAGGGCATCACAGCTCCCCTCTCCATTACCTTCTCCTCCCAATCTCCCTCTCCTCTTGCTCTCCAGGTTTTGCCGAAGCCGTCGAGTTCATGATCAAACCCGTGCGATACATTCGCTATGTAAGCGAAGCGAGAGGGCAATAGTGGGATCACGAATACAGAGACCCGAAATTCCCTTCCTCCTCCTGTTCTCTCTTACCCACAATCAATGAGGAAGGTATCCTTGATTTCAGAATATTAAATTCATACAGTACTTTTCTATTTTAGGGTAAATAAAGAAGTTATTTTGCTTGATTTCAGATTATACTTTAGTTGGTTTTTTATTTTAGTGCAAATAATGATCACGATTCCCCAGATTGGTTTATCATTGTTGTGTACACTTGTTTGGCTTCATGTGATGCTAACATATTGCTATGAATGTTTTGTTGCAAACACCTTTATTACACATGGGCATAACGGTCATTTATCCAAAAAAAGTTATAAATCAGTCGTTTTCTAAACGCACAAAACAAACAACCAGCCAACTTATCTGGATCAGCTGCTGATCAGCAACTTATATGGATCAGCAGCTTATCTGAATAAGCTGCATAAGCTGCAGCTGCCCCAAACAAACCCTAAATTTGAATGTTTCGATCAAAGAATTCCCATCTCTCAGTGATTGATTGTCTATAAAAATCTTATTTTGTTGGAATAAAAAATTAAAGTAAATTGAATGTTTCGATCAAAGAATTTCCATCTCTCAGTGATTGATTGTCTATAGAAATATTTATATAAATCTTATTTTGTTGGAATAAAAAATTAAAGTAAATTTAAAAAAAAATTTGGAATGTTTGGATCACAGTTCCCATCTCTTAGTGATTGATGGTCAGGAATCCCTTTGGTGAGGGAATTTTCATATTGCAAATTTTCTTCTATAATCTTGAGCAAAATCATTCCTAGCTTCTCCTAAATCTCTTCTAAATGACATGGTTGAACTCTACCATCTTACCTGCGCAAAAAAAAATAAAAAATAAAAATAAATAAAAAATTTGAAAGAAATAACTAGATTCCAATCTTGGCCAAAAATTAAATTACAAGTGACCTAGTCTTGATTTTTCATGCTACTGTCCACTTAAAAATCCTTCAGAAAATACTATAAACTCCAAGATACATCTAGACACAAACCTTTATGTTTTTCAAGTGTTCTAAAGCTTTACCCAACACATTTCCTAACCCTAATCACTCCAATGATCTCATGCACATGGCCAAGTAAACGTATGCTAACTTGGCCGACCCTCAACCTCTTCTAAACGAACTCACACCCCACCCAATCCAAGCACAAGGTTCATATGCTTAAAGGATCACTCCTACAGCAAAAGCTTGGCATACTTTATTTCAAGATTTTATCAAATTTCTACAAAAAAAAACACAATTTTATGTTTTTAAGTATTAATTTACTTTTTCGACTACTTAAAATTTTTTATAAAAGCCCAACCAGTCGTAGCTACTGAGCTTTATTAATTTCGATATATTTCAAGCAACCAGGATACAAGAAATTGGATGTCTAAATCATGCAATTTAATTTCAAACCAAGCCAAAAAAGTCTCGGAGCTGGTTCGAAGTCGATCCATTTCAAGTCGAACTAGCTCAACTTCAATGAAAACTGAACAAATTCAAGAACAAGTTAATCTAAACTAGAACATTTGGAGATAAAAATAAGTCCACTAGTAAGCTATTCAGACATGCCCAACATGCTGATTTTATCCGTCGTCATTGTGCAATGCTTATTGAACCATAGAAAAGTTAAAAATGAGAACATCATGCTAAAGTGTACTGACAATGGTTTCAATTAAAGACCCATACGACAAAACCAATAAAGATCATAGTTTTTTCATGCACCAAAAGCTGCTATAAAAAATTTCACAGATGAGTATATTAAATTAAAAAGTACATATACAAATAGTCTTAAATGTTAAGATCTTCCAATCAAGATTATTAAATGAAGAAAAATCTAATTACAACGTTATAAAAAAATAAAAAAATAAAATCAATAAATACTAAAAGAAAATTGAGAGAAGTTAAAAGTATCTTTTATAACAGCAAGAAAAATGAAAGGCAGTCATCAAAAGATAGCTACCCAAAACAAGGATTTATTTTCCTGAAAGCAACAAAAATTTAAAAGAAGCAACAGCCTACTATTGACGGTTGAAACTCTGGAGGAAGGCAGCCAAGCAACAAAAAATTTTCTTATTTGAAACATGAAATTAGGCTTAGTTGATTAATGCAACTCTTACACTAAATCAACTGTAACTGATGGATCAACAATAACATGATGCAAATGAATAATTAAATTATAGAGTTTTGTGGCAAGTTGCATACTTACACAACATTCCAGGGCTCCGGACCAAGAACACGCAAGAAAGTTAGAGGATTCATGGTGCCCGCTCCAACCTATAAAGATGAAAAAAATGAAGTAAGAAGCAGTGAAAAACAGTATATATTTTGCAAGAAGTTGGGACAATATGGAACAGCATGAGCTCTTTAGAGAACAGTTTGGTCAAGAAATGAAGTAAGACCAAGCCATTTACTTTAGAGAACAGTTTGGTCAATAAATAGTTCAGTTCCATGTCATTTTTAAATTACCATTTAGAACAAATTAAGTTAAAAGAATCATTACATAATTGTTTTATTGAAATGATACTACTTTTCTAACTATGGATGAAAATTTAAAAACCACATATTCTAGATTAGAAATAGATGAAGGTTAGATGATCATTTACATTAAATGCAAACAAAAGTATGAAATACCAATGTGATCAACATGTCATGGATTAGAAATAGGAAGCAGTCTTAAGACTCGGGTATAATCCTAGCAATCTAGATGGCTTCCTATATTCATGTAAGCATATGTCGGCGCATATTTAGATGAATGTGGGATGGTGATAAACACTAATGATTTCATGATTTCCACGTGATAAAAAGTTTGACAAGTGGACCTCAACTTAAGTAATTAGAATATTTTAGATGTGTATGGAATTTGTGCATTAATTTGGATCCTTCCTCATCCAAGGTGGATTCGTACAATACAAGTAAAAAAACATGCGAAGGAGATCATTTTAATAGAACTAATCACCTTAAATCTTCCATATGAACCCGCACAAATGCCATACTTTTAACTGCCTCCTTTGCACAGTTGCATTAGCTTGGCCGCTTCTACAAGTACATCAACCCTTAACCTAAAATTGTAAATTAGCCATGTAAATGCCACGTGTCACTCCCTTTCAACCCTTAAATTAGCCATGTAAATGCCACGTGTCACTCCCTTATTCATCAACTTCAGCACAAAGGATCCCCAACTGATAACCAATCAACTTAGGATGAAGGGGAAGTGCGTCTATTTAATTAATGCTCAGCATATTTTATGCCTTGGTGGGACTATTATAGAATATTGGATTGGCCAAAAAAAGTGGATCTAGATCTACTAAAGCTGATAGGGTTAGCCACAAAAAGAGTCATATTGTCCATGTATTTGCCACATCAGCACCACATACCACCCCACATTAGTCTAAATTATCAAGTGGGCCACAAAATCATGACTAATTTAATCATAAATTAAGGCTAAAGGCCCAAAACCTATTATGCAGCAACCACGTCTCTACCAAAGTCTACCCCTGAATTGCAACAACATCAACTGTCATTGTAGCACTAGAACCCAGCCTATTGCAGACTCTCTAGTAGACACATCAAGTCTCAATAGAAAATTTACATTATAAAATATCCTAAAATAAATTAAATAATTATATTATATTATATTATGTATATAAACCATTGATGTAATTTTTAAAGTACAGAAAATATGTGGCTTTCTTTTAATTCTAAAAAATATTTAAAACTTAGCTCAAAAAAAATGAAAAAAATTTAAATTTCTTAAAATTCATAAAAGCAAATCAAAATATTATTGGTATGGGTCATTCCAAGAAAATAATTTTAGAACTTCTGAGCATTCTACTTAAAACATTAAATATTCAAGTGATGTTCAAAAATTTATACAAAATAAAAAAAAAAAATCAAATAAAAATGAAATTCAAACATAATAAAAGATAAGCCGTCGCAACATGAACTTCATAGTTGGCCAATTTTGGCAATGATTGGGTTCAATGCACTTGTCTCAAAAAGTGCACCAATAAACCTTGAATGAAATTGCTTAGATAAGCATTTTTATATCTCAACTACCTTTCCACACAGTGCAGACAACCAGAGCCTTTATCACTACAGAAAGTACATTGAGATAATGTTGAAGCTCTGAACTTCCTAATTTAATTTGAAGATCAAAACAGTAAGTCTGGAAGGCAGCGATTTTTATTAAGCATCTAGCAAAGGCTATTTTCTAATAATTCTATTCTAGTACAAAGTCCTTGTAACTTGTTCCTTGCAGTTTCAACCACATAAAGGCTACACAATAAAGTCCCTGATGCATTAACTAAAAGCCAAGCCTCCATGCCACAAAAATTCATGGAGTTTAGCTAGGCATTGCTCTAAAATACGGACTTCAGTTTCGATAACTTGTTGCAAGCTCCAAGCTAAGACTGGCAAAAAAAAAAAGAATAATGAGGTTAAGATACTCTTATTTAACAACTCATGGTAAAGAATATATAATGCTAAAATCCAAAAAGCATGGTAAGTCTTCAATCTAAAAAATTTATATGGTCAGAAATACTTCTAAGTCACCGAATCATACCTCATTTTGGCCAAGACCTCAAAATTGGACTGAAAGCATCAAAACCCCTAAAAATCAATCTAGAGCCAAGGCTCAATACTATCCAAAATTTCCTAATCAAATGAAGGTAAACTCATTTAGCCCATCATTCCAACAAGTCTACACATCACATTTAAGGCTCCCTGATGATCGAAACTGATAACATGGTAAAACCTAAATGACACAAGCAGGGGATCTTCTACTTTGATAATAGGATCTTCTGATTTAATAAATACACACACAGACACACAAAGAGAGAGAGAGAAGCTAAAATGAGGGTTGTTTCATTTAAAAGGCTTTTACAAAAGAGAGGAAGAGAGTACATTCAAGATATAAAGAAAGATGAGAAGATAAGTGAATAAACAAGAGGACATGTAAAAGCAAATTAATCCAAAAAATGTTGGTCAATCTATAATAACCACTAGATTCCCATCACAGCCCTTGACATCAATTACATAAATGAATATAATCATCAAAATTATAAAGAAAATAAAAATAAGACAAAAAATAATCTACTGAACATAAAGTATCACCAACTTTCATCAACTACTAATAAAGACAAAAATGATCACTTAACGCCAATGCATCTTGTTTGAAACAACAACTACTAATAAGACAAAATACTGATACAATTATCATTCTAAATTTAAGCAAGTATATAATTGTACATGTGTGCTTTGTGGTTCTCTCTTGTTCCTACGAATTTATGAAGGCAAACAATAACATGCCAAGGAGAGTAACAAGATGAAATTTTAAGGAGAAGCCCTTGCCAAAGGTACATAAATTCATTAACCATGAGATAAGCGTGATTTGAGTTAATAATTCATGCATCATTTTAAAATATGAATGGAAAATGAGAATACATAAAACCAATCACCAAAGACATTAGGCTGTAATAACCGAAATAAATTAAGGGAATTTAAAAGGGTTAGTGTCGATTCAAAAGGGAGAAACATCTCAACTGTTTCGTTTTAAGGAGATGAGTGTCCCATTCAAAGCAAAATAAACAAACCAAATAGAAAGAATGAAAACAGGATACAGAAGAGGAATAAGAATAAAGATGAAAGGCTGTGTGTTTCTCTTAACGGAGATTTGATACCATTTGGAGAAGTAGACACCAAGGGCGTCATACGTGAGCAAAAAAGAAGTGACGAAATGGGGAGGAGTACAAGAAGTCTTTCACGTGCAGGAAGGGGCGTGGCAACGATCTGTGACCATGGTTACGATCCATGCTGTGTAAAGGAAGAGTTGTTGTGGAGGGCAGGCGGGAGAGGGACAAGAAGTTGAGAGTGTATACATGACAACGATCTGAGTGTGACCATGGTTACCATCCATGTTGTGTAAAGGAAGAGTTGTTGTGGAGGGCAAGCGGGAGAGGGACAAGAAGTTGAGAGTGTATACATGCCCTCGATTTGATCAAAGCTAAAGGACGGGACTACGATGTGCATGACGTCGTTCTAGGGAGAAGTAGACAAAGGCGAGGAGGGGAGCCACTTTGATGCATGTAGCAGCAATCGAAATCAGGGCATCGCCAAGCATCCTGAGTGAAGCAAGCCGAGTGCGAGCAGGACAACAGGATTTCAAGAGGATTTTCTACAGCAGTCGAGAAAAGTAGTCTGAAAGTCCTGACTAACAAATGAGGGGAAGAAGGATTTCATATTCGATTTCATGTGCAGGGGTGAATGGCAAGTGAATCGATCATAATTTTTAATTATAGTTATTTATTTTAATCAAATTATTAATCAAGATTTTATTAAATTTCAAATATACATAAATAGGATTTTCTAATTAAATTTAAAATTTTCATAATTAATAGATAAAAAAACATTTAGTGAAATCATTATACTTACCTATGTGTGTATACAACGACAACAACAAGAAAACCTTTATCCCACTAAGTGGGGTCAGCTGCATGAATCCTTTTTCTCCATTGTGTCCTATTTAGTGTCATATTTTCATTTAATTCTAATAAATTAAGAACATTTTTTATACAATATGCCCAAGTTTTCCTAGGTTTAGCTCTGTCTTTCATATGTGCGTGTATATGAATTGACAAAATTAATTTAATGTCAAAATTTGATAATAAGATCAAATATAATCCCTTAATAATTAAATCAAAAAATTATGCCAACAAAAATGTTAGAATCATAGTGATAATCTAATTAAGAAATAAAGCATAAATTAATTAATGAGATTTAAATAAATATATATATTAGTATAGAATTTCATAATATTTAATTAGTATAATATTAAAAAACTTAGAAAATTAATAATAATATCACTTGAAGAAATATGTTAGACGAATTAAACAAATGACTAAATAAGTAAAGGTTAAGAAATAATCTAATTATAAAATTAATTATTAGATAATGATAACTTATTTTTTAAAATTAAAATGATTACTTTACTAATGATTATAGATATTAAAGTGTAGAGGAGATTCAGCATTCAAAACTAGCAAAATCGTCTTGAAGCGAGGATAGTACTCATATGTTTATGCTATAGTAATATTTTTGCTTCTTCTAAATCAAGTACATTTACTGTTATTGTTACTAGTTATATCTATATCATTGCATACTAATGATTTATGATTCAATAGAATTTTTTTTTCATATTTAAACTGAAATAATTACTTTACCAATGATTATAGATATTAAAGTGTAGAGGAGATTCAGCATTCAAAACTAGAAAAATCGTCTTGAAGCGAGGATAGTACTCATATGTTTATGCTATAGTAATATTTTTGCTTCTTCTAAATCAAGTACATTTACTGTTATTGTTACTAGTTATATCTATATCATTGCATACTAATGATTTATGATTCAATAGAATTTTTTTTTCATATTATAGGAATGACATGTGTACTCAGCATTGTTTAAATTATCATATACATTCAATATTATACAAATATATTGATTGTTATATAAATGAAAATAAAATAATCATTATTAGATGGTGATTTTTATAATATGTTTGCAACTATACGATTGACTATGATAAAAATCAATCATTTATGGTACTCTGTTATATAAATGAGAATAAAATAATCATTATTAGATGGTGATTGTTATAATATGTTTGCAACTATATGATTGACTATGATAAAAATCAATCATTTATGGTACTAGCAGATGAACGATAAAATACTCGTGCATGTAATTGAAAATAATATTAAATGTTAGACAAGTATATTGATTGTTATAAAAATGAAAATAAAATGATCATTGTTAGGTGGTGATTGTTATAGTATGGTTGTATCTGTATGATCGACTACAATATAATTCATTCATTCATGATACTAGCGGAAGAACGCTAAAATGTATGTGCACGTTATTGAAAAAAGATACTGATATTGATGTACAATAATTGGTATAATTTTAGACGGTGCTCCTGTGAAGGTTGTATATAAATTGAAATAGATAAAAAAATGATTCAGTGTGACATAATAAAAGTTTTGAAATATCTTGGTCAATAATATTAATATATATAAATTAACAAATGTTTTCAATTGATGTATTAAAAATTTAACTAGCAAGCATATTTTTTTATTATTATGTTACTTTAGTTTAGAAGTATGACTATTTAATGTTATGGTTGGCTCATTATTGTTTTAACTAACATTTCAGATGTAATCATTTAATTAAAATATGAGCAATAAAAGAAAAAATATTTACAAAAAAAGCAAACAACGGTATACTTAATTGTATTACCATAATTTATTTTAAGTGGTTCTTTCATTTTATTTAAATTATAAACTATTAGCCATAGAAAATTTTGATTACCATTGTTGGACCGTCTGTTCCCGCTTTAATTAACTCCAAGCCCAGGGATGGGTCATAACATAAGCAAAAAAGATAATCAAAAAAATGTTGATTGGATGAAAATTTGAATGACAAGGATTTTCTAACATAGAAGCATTACAAAAATATCCCTAATAATGTTGACATCCTGCTAAACTTGTGTAGAGTCCTTATAGTTGACATAGAAGTTTCATGAAATGCGTTGTTAAATTTAAACTTATGTGGCTTGCTATAGGCCAACATGGAAATTCCTAATAGCAATACATATTTTAGAGTTTTAAAAAGTCTCAAAAACAAAAATAATAATAATAATAATAATAATACTGTAGGTGTAATTTCTTAACTAGAGTGAAAATCAAATTTTTAGAGTTTTAAAAAGTCTCAAAAACAATAATAATAATAATAATAATAATAATAATGTAGGTGTAATTTCTTAACTAGAGTGAAAATCAAACTTAAATTGATATGTTATATTCACACCATTGAAGAAATTTAGCAATCTTAAAGATGATTAAAGGGAATTAAAGAATATACAATTATTTTCTATGGGTGAGATCGCTAACTAATTATTGGTTAATAAACATCTCTAGTGGATACACAGATAAAAAAAAAGTAACTTGCTCAAAAATTAAGACTTAAACTAAGTAGATAAAATGAACACAGTTATGATACTTTTTCTACCAACAACAGCAATAGCACAATGAAGCTTTTAAGAGTTGCTGCAGCTAAGCAAAAAAGCTCACGATTCATGAGGCAATGACAAAATGCCACATTCAGTTGCAATTGAGTGACTAACATGCTCATACAATAAACTAATTACAAATGAAAATGCATGCAATCACAGGCTATAAAAGGCGGCGCACCATAATGGAATAATGGCAAGCAAGGTATTCAATGATTTAAGAAAAAATTGATGTAATCACCTCAGTGTTGCTACACTGCATTACTGAACACCCAACTGAAGCCCAATATTCCTGTAGCATCACCAATATTAGTGCCTCCAATTGTGAATGAACTTGACATGGTACCAAAAAAGCAAGAGAATAACACTGAAACTGAAATATATAGAACTTTTATACGACAAGAATTTCATGCATAACAGCAAATTTTTAAAACTATCAACTGCATAAAAGCCCAATCGGGAACAACTTGTGGTTGAATCATCTTGCAAATCCAATTAATAGAACTAGAAGTAATTAAAATGCCATAGAAGTAAACTCAAAATAAGCAATCAACTCAAAAGATAGCAAATAACTCATCAAACTGTAAAATTCAATTACAGAAAAGTCAAATGTTTTTTTTTTCCTTTTAATAAATATTGACGATACAGGACTATCACATTCAATGACAACCTGATACTGAATTTGTTTTGCATTGCATGCCATTTTCTTCATTTTTATTGCAAAATGAAAAATATAGCTTCAATCATCTAATAAAACTATAATCAAATTTTTCTCATCAAAGAGGCAAGTGGTACCCCTACCTATTTATTTGCAGTCAATCAATTTAGCTATACAGAAACGCTTCTAGTTTTGCAGGTTTACGCATGAATGAATACATATGTATGAATTTGATTTGATATTTTTATCAATGAAACATAAGCAAGGTACACATATTTTAAGCAAATTGAAAAACTAGTTTGCTAGTTTGCCCATTTAAAGTAGTTAAATCAAATATAGAAGCATTTTATGTATCTGTGGGTCAACATTTGCTCGCACAACTGTGTCTATATTTACTTAATGTGTGATTGGCTTGCCAGATGCTTTGTCTTCTTGGTTAATTTCCAACACTTAAAGTAAATAGACAGTTAAGTAAAATTCTGACAACATAAGATATAAACAGTAAGGCTGAATTCAGGAGGAGCTTATTAGCATGTTAACCTGTTCTACTTATAATCAATTAAAGTGGAGGGGGAAGTTGAATTTGGGTTCAACACTACTTAGTCCAGATTCTTAATGTCCTCGACCTAGACCTTCTTGATATTAATGAAACTAGGTGTCATAATCCTCTATCCCCTATTAAATACAAAATGCTCAGCATAAATGATTTTGTAACCTTGAAGTTAATAGTAAAGAGAATTTAAATAGATCAGGCATGACTTCCTTAATAATAAAGTAGTTGTTTCAACAGCTAGAATATTGGAAGCATCAATTCCCCAATGTGTGGAAAGAAATGGCGGTGAGGCCTCGCCTTCTACAAAAGGGATGGTTCTGACTCTTAGGAGAGAAGCTCAACTCCCACACTTAATGGGATGAGCTATGGTTGACTTAAGAGTTAAGTCTTAATAAAACACCAACTAATGATGTTGGGATAATGCCTTAAACAATTATAAGGGTTTCATTTTGCGGAAATATTTTAGGTCTTAAGGAGTGTGATAAAAGAAAGAAAAGATAAGATAAGCAGGGAGAAAGAGAGAATCAATGGAATGCACACATAGTGAAGAAGACTTGTCTTTTTTGTAATCACAATGTTGCCTCTTAGATTTGGAGCACAAGGGCTCAACATATTTCTCTTCTAGTCACCACCTAATTGAGGTTAGATTTTCAGAAACGGAAAATGAAGACTTCATTATTATATGGTATTTATAATGGTCCTTAGAGGTACAGAATGTGAGGAGATTTCTTAGCCACAAGGGGCTTGGAAACTTCTCCCCATAACCATTAAAGATATTCCATCGTCTTGGTATGGAAACTTCTCCCCATAACCATTAAAGATATTCCATCGTCTTGGTACTACCATATTGGCCCATTCCTTACTTATGTTATGCTCACCTTAAAATAGCTAAACCAAAGAAGTCTGGAAGGAACAATATGTCAGCACATAGAAATCCTAGCATTGCATGATAAAACTTTGCATCTCAAAAATTAATGAGCTGTCAAGCAACAACAATCAGGACAAACAAAACGAAACCTGAAGGCGCTGAATAGCCTCTTGGAAAGTTGGCACCGAAGTTTGGCCTCCAGTTTCAGGCCCGTGCAGAGTACGATGCAGTTCCAAGGAAGTGCTCGCAGAAGGGAACCCATTCCTCCGTGAAGCAACCGCCAACCGGCGTCTATAGAGGAGACGGATGTGCTTAGGGTTTGACCAGCGGAGAGAGAGGTGGAGGAGACGAGTGTCCTGGGGCTTAATGGCATTGAAGGAGAGTGGAAAGCATAAGATAGCCATTGTAGCGGTACGTGAGGATAAGGCCAAAGGCCCAGAACTGCGAGTGTTGGGGTAAACGGATACTTGGAAGCTGAGCAGGGAGCTCTCCGGAACTTCAAAACTAGAATGTGATAAAATTTTGAGGATTAACTTGCCGCATCTTCCATCTTTTATCTATTTATCTATTTAATATTTTAGTTTTACTTTTTACTTTATATAATATATAAGTGTCAGTAATCTTATTAAAATATAATTATAAATATAAATATAAAGAACGTATATTTTAATCTAGAAAACTTAATATTTATATTCTAATGTGATGTTAAAAAATTTTATGTTATATAACTACATATTAAGAGTTAGGTGTTGAATGTAAAACATATTTTTTTTCATGAAGAAATATACATAAAAATTTTATTTTGAATCAAAACACCTCTCATTTGATTGTGTATTACTTATTTAATACCTCTCATGAATATAATGATATAATTATAATTCTAAAAATAATGTAATCTTTTCGGACAACAATCAAACATGGTTCGAGCACGATTCAAACAAAGTTCAAACATAATTAGAAAATGGCTCAAACATGGTTCAAATTAAGCTCAAATAGGATTTACCTATGACATATATTACAAAGTGCAATGCAATAGTTTAACATGGCCAATTATAGGATTAATATTATTTTATCTCAATTCAATTAACCGAGAGTGATTCAACAATTATAATTCAGCATAGTACGATGGAAGAGTTATAGGCTGTACTTCATAAATTGACTAATATGCCTTAACACTAAATCTATATTAGGTACTCATTTTGATTTCAAATAAACTCGGCTGATTGCTAACTTATTAAATGAAGTTAAAAGATCTACTATACAACCATCTAAAACCATGGGTAGTTATTAGGGGAATTAAATCAAAATTAAAGTTGCATGATCTCTAAATCATTCTTATGATCCTTAAACTTTATAGACTAGCTTTAACCTTAATATGACTTGCAATTTTTATGCAAGTCTTGTAAACTCATTTCAGAGGTCCCTCGACCTCTTCTTGACTCAATCTTTTGTCAAGAAGGCTTGCTCAACCTAGTTTGAACAATATAACTATGGTGCCCCAGTAGAGCCCACCCAATAGAATGACACTCTCTTTTTTTAGAATTTGGATCCTAATGAACTCAATAAGTTCATAGAATATGAATCATGCGTGAAGGAAATTCAAGCTTTTAGATCATTGCTCTACTCAGTTTGACTAAATAACCTATCATGACACAATAAGAATTTCCATGAAACAACTTGATTCAATTAAAACTATTTTTAGTTCTAAATGAAATTAATAGACAATAAAAGTGTATTAACTCACCTCAAACCAACTTGGGGAACTAATCAAATCCACTTTGACCACCACTAAATTTCATTAGGTTTCTATTTCTCAACCTCTAAGTCTCCAATGGTGATGTGATGTGAGCTCCAACAAATCTTTTGATGAATAACTCTTCTAACTTAGAAAATGTCTTAACCGAGTCATTGAGTAGTGATCCCGACTGTTTATATGCAACAGTATAGCAATAGTTCTGATTATATTTTTCACTTATATTTCCTTATTTTGCAACAAAACTAAAAACTTGATCCTGAAGAAAAATAATAATTTAACTTTTTAATTTATATATACTGGTATATTACGCAAGTATATATATCGTTATCAAGTAATATAGGACTTTTCTAATTAAGACCAGAATGTCGAACTCACGGGGAAATGATGCAATATGCACTTTTGAAAACTTCTATTTTTAAAAAGACAATTATTTAAACTATAGATGTTTTGCAGTAACGAAAGTTTAAATATTTTCGATATTTTGATAAAACAGTAACAACTTAAAAAGATAACTTGAGTTTTTGTAGAAGAAAAGCGCTAAATATAAAAATATCTTTCTCTCTATCATGAATCAGTAATAAGTATAGGAATTCTGTTGTGAAAGTATGCAAATTGTGTTGTGTCAAATAGGAGCAATAATATTATTTACCCTTACTAGAGATGCTATAAAGAACATTGGCTAAATTAAAGTTTGAATAGTTTTAAAGACTGACTAGGCATGGAAGATATCAGCTCTCACTCTAGAGTTCCCTCAATTCCCTCCACCTGGGGGCTAACATCTCGTATCAAAATCTAAAAAAATAAACCAAGTTGGGGGTTTTAACCTGTCACTTTAAAGTCCTCTAACTCTACACCCTTCAATGAATATTTTCCTATTTATTTGCACTCAATCATATAAACTACATTCTCATTCATTCGACCTCATGTGATTCTTTTCAATTGTTAATTGATACAATACCAGTCCGGTTCTTACATGTTCTCACAACAAATTTTAACATCTGGATTGGCCAAATGAAGAAGTAAATGTAGTACATGGATTTAAATCATCACAACTTCTTCCAACATTAAAGATTAATACTTTCCACAACTTCCATCCAACACTTAAATACTTATCATTTTAAGAAGAAAGATAAAGAAAACTACTCAAAATTCATGGAGAAAACAAAATCAAACTTTAGTTGAAAAGTAGAAATCATTGTCAAACCAACAATAAGTCTCAATTAAAATTAAAAGATAAAACTTATCTCAAATCCTTCATCAAACTCTTAAAGTTCTTTTGAATCTCTTCTCTTTTACAACACTCTCAATATAAAACTAAAACAAAAGGATAAAGTAAATATTCAGTGTGGTTCCTGAAAATCTCTCTAAACTAACTCCCCAATTTCCTTAAGAACTTTCAAAACTTCCTCTTCTTAAGCACACACACTTTCAAAGTTTTAATCTTCCTTCTTTGATAATTTTCCAATAGGTGTCTTGGTATCTCTTCAAAATATGTCTTGATTCGATATATTTCCCCAAGAGATGTATTTCCCCAAGAGATGTCTCCTCAAGAGATGTCTCCTTTCACAAGTATTTTTGTCCTTGGTGGTTGTAACCAACTATTTATGCCAAAAGGTATCTTAAATACCTCTTCAAAATTCATAAAACTGGATTTACTCATCAAATAACTGTCTCTGGTGCTTAGGCGCGGCCTTCTCTATTTAACCGACGCTTAAGCGCTGGATCTAGCTCTTAAGCGCCAAAATACTTTAGCACAATCTTCACATATTTGCTCCAAATTTGATCCTTTTTCACTCATTTAAGCATTTTTCACCTTTTTACTTGTACCTGATAGAAAATACAAAAATATCTTTCATTAAAGCATAATATCTCAAAAATAGGTATAAAAATGTGTCTAAAAATACTATATATTATAGATGTATCGGTAGCTCAACAAACCAGTCAAATGATGTCTTAGATGAAATATTAACAAATTGATAGAAAAGTAAGAATCACTTTGTCCAGTATTACATCAACTAGCTCAGAAATGTGTTAAATATTGTTTTGGGTTCTCAATTCCATTAAACACTCTAAAGATCAGTGTTACAAATCCTTTGGGGTACTTGACAGTATCAAACTCTTCAAGATAGGGTCATTCTTTGGGTATTGATTTACCACTTCAGGCTTGAGCTAAGGCGTCTTTCATTTGTTGTTCAATCATAGATTTAAGATCTTTTTCAGGAAGATCTAGTGTTTCTAACTGGTTCTTTGAGGCTTTCTCTTTAGTTATTCTTGCCTTAGAGTTATCAAGCACATGAGCAACCTAAGGATCACTAGAATTGGAGCAGGAAATCTTTTTGAACTAAGGGAGTTGAGGCAGTAACACTTCCATCTTATTTTCTAATTTATCAATATACTCACACTTTGTTTCAACTCGTCTTTCAGATGTTGAGTTGTGTTATGCAATAGACCCTCTTCAACCAACATCTTGATAACGTGCTGGTACTAGTCTCAAGATTGGATTCTAATTCACCGGAATAACATTCATAATCTCCTTCATTCTTGTCTTCAACCTTTATATCAATCCATCTTTATGTTAGTTGATTTAAAAGTTTTCAGGTGATATATGTCTGGTGCAATAAGTTCTTCAACCATTATATCATACAAATCAATGTTCTCTTCCTATCGTTCTTCAACACTGCTTGGGTTTCAACCATTCTAATAGTGGCACTTTCCTCTAAAGCTTTTAAAGTTTCTTCTTATTTCTTTAAATATTTGATGCTAGCTTCCACTTTACAAAACACTTCATCAATGTGTTCTTCTCTGATATTCTTTGGATCAACTGGGTGTTACTTGGGGACGACAACTTCTTTCAATGAGTTTATAAGGAAAGATGTTAATATAAAGTCTACACTTGAATCTTTGAATTTTTTTGAATTTAAGATTAAACTTATTTGGAAGGGAACTCCATACATGATTTTAAGGTTGGACCCTGTCCACAAGGTGAATGAGATAAATATTTTAGTTTTAAAGATTCTTTAGTTTTAGTTTAAAGTTTTGAAAATGATTTTAGATTTGCTTTTAAAAAGTTTTAGATTTAAGGATTCATTTTGATAGTAGATCAATAAAGCATAAGGTCATACTTGAATAACTAAGTTATAAGTTCCTAACCTAAACTCGGGTGCAAAACCAACTTCAAGGAGGATTGATGAAGAAGATCCTAAAACCTACTCATTATGTGTGGTTTACATGAGAGGTTATAGACCCAGAGTTTAAGAATGTTTGGTTGACCCATCCATGCTTGGTGGTTAGAAAGTCCAACATGAAAAAAGATGGTAATATGAGTCTGTGCCTGTAAAGGAGGTACAAACATATTACTAAAAAAAGAAAGATTAAGCCATAACTAGAGATGGAGGGAGGAATAATCACTAGCAAAGTCGCAAAAAAAATTTAATGATGGGTTTTTTATTGTGTAGCCAACATAGATCTCAAAAGATTTCTATCTAAATGATGAGATACAATAGTCAAAGAATAATATACTATCCAAAAGAATAGAAATGTTGTCTTACAATGGATCTAATACTCATATAATGAAAATATTCATGATCCATGGATCTACAAAACTAGAAATTTTCCCTTGCTACATTAATGTAAGATAAGCTTTAGTTTAATCTAGGGTCTGTTATCCCTATGAGGGACTCCCTCATAGTTATTTACATCTCAATAATTACTCTTGGGATTACTCTCAATTAACATTACACCTTATATTTTTCTTAATCATCAGTAAGTGTCT